GAAGGAGAAAAAAGAGATGAGGAGGGGAAAGAAGTCTGGAATAGAAGACAAGAAAGAGACTAATGAAGCTAGAGAAAACTGGGGGTATAGCCTGCCCCCAAAGAACGGAATCAGTGTCTTAAACCAAAAATTGCCAGTGAGGCTATATAAAAGAATTGAGCAGTGGGGTGAATTCAAGAAGTTACTTCAGAGCTGACCAGAGCAAGAACTGCCTGCAAACCTGGAAAGCACAGAAAACTGACAGTGGTGACATTGATTGAGAAAAGAGACGCAGAGTGATTGGCATATAAGTGCAGAGAGTCCACCAGTACACTCAGAAAGATGCAAAGTGCTCCTCTTCAGGCCCTTTAGGGGCCACAACCTAGGCCAAAGGTGTTATGCTTGGGAAAGGAGGACTACGGGAAATGACTCTTCTAAGACCCTGATTCACTTCCAACCTTTCTTAGAGCAGGTAACTCCCTTGGAACTATCCATGGTGCTGCAACTTCTGGCCTGCCTTGACCCACTGGGAACCTGAAACAGATGAACCAAAACATCACCTTTCCTTTTAACCTGCAGTTCACATATACATCCGAATGCTCTCAAATGCTTGAGGGAGCTCACAAAATTTCCCCTTCCTTCCCCAGTGCCCAGAAAATTTCCTTGAATCATTGAAAGACAGAAATAGTTAGACCACAGAGGGATCATTCCACCCTGCTGAGGGTTAGCATTACAAGTTGCAGAACCTCCAGTGGAAACAGTGAAAATATGCCAACTGGACTGGCAATTGAATCTTATTTCAATACTGCCAATGGGAGGGTGTCTTCTTCCACATCTGATGGCAGGAGGCTAGCTGAGGGACTGCAGGGTAGGCTGTGTAGGCACACACAGTTTGTACCCTCAACACCATATTGCCACTCCCTATCCCCAACATCTTCTGCTTGAGGTGGCTGTCTAACTCTGACTAATGGTAGGGACAGCAGTGCCCCTTCTCAGACATGCAGTTTCTACTGACACACTGGTATATGCAGTCTTCAGAATGGGATGAATGAATGGGACTTTCTCCCCCCCCCCAAAAAAAAAGTCACTGTGATTCATACAGCTCAATTTCCAGTATGCTCCCAACATTCTTCACTGTCCAGTTTATAATGACTTAAAACTCATTCTGTTGAGCCTACATCAGTGTCAGGTGGTCTCAAGATTGTCTCATAAAGTCAGGTCAGATTATTCCTTTGGGAAAACTAGGTTATCAGTGTTACACTAATACATATGGCTAGGGCAATTTAAAAACATATTTGGGTTTTTAATTTATTTATCCCTTTATAATTTACCAAGAGTTACATTAAAGATTCATTCTGGTGGACAGGGAGTGAACTGATTAAGTTCATTTATGCAGGTTTATACCCTCATTGTCATTGTCTCCCTCCCTCTTCTTGCAGTAATTTGTCGAAAGCTTGTTGTTAGGTGATATGTAACCTTTAATTCAGCTATTGTTAGCACTTTTGTATGCCAGTGAAGGGTTCTGAAATTTTCAGTAGGATGTGCTCTCCTAATAGGGAAACTTAATTATTCCCCTAGTACTTCAAAACTATCATTGACATCTGAGTTATATGCATTTCATATCTACTGCATAACCTTCAGCTCCCAGTCAACAAGGTTGCCTTGCTGTACGTCTTCGGCCAGAAGAAGCTATTTGTGGTAGCTCTACCCTTATTCTTAGTACAATGGTGATTATTATTAAAGGCCTTGTTTGAGATTTAAAAAGGCTATGTGCATAAAATTCACATTTGCACTTTTTCTGTTCCTACCTCTTTCTGTTGATTACTCATTTTATTCATAAAGGCAAATTAATTACATTGGGTTTTGTTTACAAAGTAAAGGGCAACTCTTCATCTACTCTTAGAGCTTTGGGAAATTTATTACTTTTTTAAAGTCTGTGGCTAATCAGATTATTAAATTATTAGTAGTAGTACTAGTTCTATATCAACCAATGAGAGTATTATCAAGACTTGAGAAGTCTATCATCATCCCACATATATTTTCCTGCTGAAAAAAAAAAAGTCCCATGGCACCTCCAAAATCTATTCGTTTCATAAAGTGTATACACAATTGGTTGCAAAAAGAACCTCAAAGCGGTTCACAAAAAACAATAAAATTATCAATAAAAAGAATTAACAGTAGTTCAAAAAATGTTTTTTAATTAAAATCAGCAATACACCAAAAACAGATTAAAATTCACACCAACTTTCTAAATATCTGGGTAAATTTCAGGTACTGGAAAGAGTACAGTAAAGGTGGCTGCCTAATAATAATAATATATTTATGCCCCGTCCATCTGGCAAGGAGTTCCAAAGTGTAGGTGCTGCCACATTAGGAGATCGAGTTCTTGCAAACTGTGCTTATTGCAGCATAAGTTTTTGTGGCTAGACCTTGTGTTATTGGTTACACCCCCAAAATGACCTCTAGCACACAAAAGACCATGTCACAACCTGTGTGCTAGTCTTGAAGGTTCCAAAGGACACTTTTCCTAGTTTTGCTCCAACACACTTAACAAGACTACCACCCAACCACCATTTCTTGGAGAGATGATACATTGAATCTCAGTAAAAGTGAGTGTGTGCTAAGCTGGGCATAGGTTCAGCTCCCCGATTCATCACTGCCCATGTCAAAACCCCGCCCTTTAAAAAAGAAGTAGGAGTGGCAGTGTGGGTATCCACACCTGGCACTCTTCAATCTTTCTTTAAAAAATTTTCAACTTTGAGAAAGGAGGGAATGCAGGGAAAATACAGGGTGGCAGCAAGTGGGTGCCCTGTACAAAGTTAGTGCACGAAGCATGGCAATTCCATACCAGGCACCTTGTTATCAAAGCACGTCTTTTCTTTCCTGCATTGCAGTTGCTAGTGTGGTAGCTTTAGCAACAGAATGCTAGACATTGGCCTGATACAAAAAGACATATTTTCTGTTCCTTGATTGCAGGTAAATGAGCCTGCACCAGGTACTACCAACCAGGAAATGTGCTGCTGAAAATTATGCTTGAGAAAGTGCAAACAGCTTCTCCGTGTGGTGCAGAGGGGATGAAATGCAGTGAAACATTTAAAATTCATTTAATGGGAATATAGCTAAGGAGGAAGGTGGGAGGAGGATATGGAAGAGATCACAGTATTAAAAAAAATATTACTTTTCTCAGCCCTCTACCAATCCAGAGCTTAATTTGTGCTGGAGCTTGCTGAAGCTAAGCCCCAGAATCTGTTCTCAATACTGTGAAGGACTCTTCAAATATATGATTTAATGTACCTCTGAGTTTATACAGAGTACCTTACTTACAGTAACCTCCACACACTTTGGATTAAGAAACAGCATTCCAGGGCAGATGGCGTAGCTTCCAGGCTGGCTTCAATCCCTGGCATGTCACTTTCAAGAAGTTAAGCACTTCTCCAATCTTAATCTGGCCCCAGTTGCCTCCCTGCCATCCTGCTGGAGTAGCAGAAATGGACTTTGATTGTAGACTTTGATTGTAGTCAAAGTTACTAAAGCAGATGAAACAACATCAAAGTTGCTGAAGGACATTATTCGTAGTCAAAGGGTGCATGCTTGTATCCAAACATTTAGCAAAGGAAATGGATGCTCACGTTTGATTCACAAATTTAAAGGGCAATGCTTAGTTCATCTCTACTTAGATATTGCAAACAACTTAATGCCAAACACATCCCTAAGTGTTTGCAGAATTTATTGAGCCTTAATGCATTTCAGAGGAAACTGATGTTTCTTCTTTCAGAGATTATAGGTCCTGTTAGCACATTTTGAGACTGCACTAGGAGTTTTAAACTTCACTTTGTGATTTATTATTTACTTTAGTTTTTGTATGCATCTCGGGTCAAAAGGGACTATCATAGTTTAATTGTCTGAGAGATATTTTTATAACATTTTTCTAGCATATATTAATCTATCAGTAACAATGCTAACAATAGCAACTAAAGCAATTCTCAGTGCTTCACTTATTCATCAGTCAGTGGAGCTGTTTAATGCAATCATGAGGCTGTGCTGGAGATTTATAGATCTAAATGCAAGTCAGACACATTTATTCTTACTCCTCATTGAACAGAATTTGACTGTTCTCACAGCCCTTCTTACTTGAAAGCATGAAGTTATGCAACATGTTGTGCTACCAGGGATCTGTTTACCTTGGAACATGATGAGGCACAGCGCTTGAGCATCATTCCTCTAACTCCAGTACAAGCTTGTAACATGTGCTCCTTTCCTCTAATCCCACAAAAGGCCTTGTTTGTTCTGTAAAAAATAGAGGGTTGACTGCTGTCCTTTAGGTGCCTGTGTTCAAACTCCTCGCATTTCTGGCTTCCTAAGTTGTATTTAGTGCATAGTTGCAGTATGACATATTTGCTTCTTGATTACATACAACTGACAAATGCCTTTTAGACACAGCTTCCTGTCCCCAAGACTTAGTGTCAGTGCTTCTATGCATGCTGAAAACCAGGTCTCACATATGTTTAGTGGCCTGTGATTTTTGAGAGAGCAGGGTATGGCACACAGAGACCTGCCACCTTGTATCTCAAACTACAGTTCCCTGTACAAACCATCAGTTTTAAGGTGGCCAAGTGTCCTCCTGCATGGAAGAAGATAGGCCTCCATTTCAATAGCTTCTGACCCAACATCAGTTCAAGATGAAGAAACAGAAGAAGGGAGAACAGGGGCCTCACAGTCGCTCATTTGTAGCACCTGGGCAGCAGACTGAGCAGGGGCTTTTTAAATTGATTTTAACTAAATGTGGGGAACCTGTGCTCTCCTCAGATGTTGCTGGGCTACAGTTTCTGTTATCCTCATGGGAGTTGTCAGTCTGCAACACCTGAAGGGCCATCAATCCCCTGCACCTGATTTAAATTTCAGTTCCCCACCCTAGAAGACCATCTCACTCTTTTCATATCCAGATGCAGATACCATCTCATCAGAAGATCCATTCCATTCCATCCAGTGAAGGAATAGTACTTAGTTCTCCCTTTGCAACA